GGGCACCTTCAAATCATTTGGAGTATGTCTACCCAGCAGGAAGGAGGTGTAATTCCCAGCTTGGGTAGACGTACACATGCTAGCTCTGCTTGAACTAGCACCTAAAAACAGCAGTGTGGCCGCAGCAGCCTGGGCTAGCTGCCTGAGTCCATACATAGAGTGGCAGGTGAGATTGCACATGGGCAGCTAGCCTAAACCTCTGCAACAACACAGCTATTTTTAGGTGCTAGTTGAACAGAACTAGTGCATGTACATCTACCTGAGCTGGGAATTACACCTCCCACCTGCTGTGTAGACAAACCCTCATATGTAATATAAAAATAAACAATGGGATACTATATTCATATTCTTTTTTCATGTTTAATGCAGTAAAGAAAACAATTTTTGAATTTGTCTGAATTAACTACAGAATTCCCACCTTCCTGCACCAGAGAAAGCACAGACAGCAGGCACCATTGCATGCTGATTGCTTCAGAATACAAAGGAATTGTGTACAGGGCCCTGTCTACTTCAGGGTGCACTAGGACCAGATTCTGTGGCTAGGCCCCCTAAATTAAATTGCAAGGACTCCCTAATTCTGCAGCAATGTTAATTTAACCTACTAAACAATGTATTATGTGATCTTATCTATGCCCAAGCCACAGAGGATATGTTATAGAGCTTAGGTAGCTATCCTGGTTCTCTAGCTTAGTCTGTTATAATGCATGCTTTGTGCTCTGGAGGTCCCCAGTTCATTCCTTGGTATCACACTAGGTGGCAGCTGTTATAATAATTCATTGTATACCCAGGAAATACCCCATCCCCAGTCATCCAACAGCAGCAGCTCGAGCTGAAAATAGTCTCTGAATTACAATTCTTGAATGTTTAGTTTCAATGATTGATTTTGTTGTGTTCTTCATTTCATAGAATCATAGAAAATCAGGGTTGGAAGGGACCTCAGGAGGTCATCTAGTCCAACCCCCTGCTCAAAGCAGGACCAATTCCCAACTAAATCATCCCAGCCAGGGCTTTGTCAAGCCTGACCTTAAAAACCTCTAAGGAAGGAGATTCCACCACCTCCCTAGGTAACCCATTCTAGTGCTTCACCACCCTCCTAGTGAAAATGTTTTTCCTAATATCCAACCTAAACCTCCCCCACTGCAACTTGAGACCATTACTCTTTGTTCTCTCATCTGGTACCACTGAGAACAGTCTAGATCCATCCTCTTTGGAATCCCCTTTCAGGTAGTTGAAAGGAGCTATCAAATCCCCCCTCATTCTTCTCTTCTGCAGACTAAACAATCCCAGTTCCCTCAGCCTTTCCTCGTAAGTCATGTGCTCCAGCCCCCTAATCATTTTTGTTGCTCTTTGCTGGACTCTTTCCAATTTTTCCACATCCTTCTTGTAGAGTGGGGCCCAAAACTGGACACAGTACTCCAGATGAGGCCTCACCAATGTCGAATAGAGGGGAATGATCACGTCCCTCGATCTGTTGGCAATGCCCCTACTTATACAGCCCAAAATGCCATTAGCCTTCTTGGCAACAAGGGCACGCTGTTGACTCATATCCAGCTTCTCGTCCACTGTAACCCCTAGGTCCTTTTCTGCAAAACTGCTGCCTAGCCATTCGGTCCCTAGTCTGTAACAGTGAATGGGATTCTTCCGTCCTAAGTGCAGGACTCTGCACTTGTCCTTGTTGAACCTCATCAGGTTTCTTTTGGCCCAATCCTCTAAGTTGTCTAGGTCCCTCTGTATCCTATCCCTACCCTCCAGCATATCTACCTCTCCTCCCAGTTTAGTGTCATCTGCAAACTTGCTGAGAGTGCAGTCCATGCCATCCTCCAGATCATTAATTTGACACTGCTCTATGGAATTCAGCAGTTACAATGTTGTCTGAGTGGCTTGGCTTAGAATTTCCTTCCTTCACCACATGTGAGCTAGGAAAGGGGGGAACTTGTAGTCAGCATCAGCAATTAATCTTCTCGGCTCCCCATGCCTTGGCTGCTGCTCTGGTCTCTAGGCTGCCTAGCGGCCCAGCCTGCATTTTAGACTCCCCACATTCCCTAGCTGAACTCTAGCGCTTGTTCCCTGTCTCGTTCCTGCCCCTCCTCACTGAAAACATGTAATCCAATGACCTCCCTCCTGTGAGGAAAGTTGGAGAGCAAGAGGCAACTGCAGGCAGGTCCCAGCAGGGTAGGGAGACAGAAAACAAAAAGCTCAGCATCTAGCAGCAGGAAAATGATAAATTCAGCAGAAAAATGCGGATTTCTGTGGTATCTTGGAAAAATGCAAGATTCCGCAGCTGCAGAGTCCAGGACCTGACAGGCCCCGAGTGAGATGGCTGGGGCAGTTTACATCTTTTAGAGCAAGGGTGGGCAAACTTTTTGGTCCGAGGGCCACATCGGGGTTACGAAATGGTATGGAGGACCGGGTAGGGAAGGCTGTGCCTCCCCAAAGAGCCTGGCCCCGCCCCCTATCTGACCCCTCCCACTTTCCGCCCCTTGACTGCCCCCCTCAGAACCCCCCACCCATCCAACCCCCCCTCGCTCCTTGTCCCCTGCCCGCCCCCTCCCGGGACCCCTGCCCCCTATCCAACCCCCCTGCTCCCTGTCCCCTGACTGCCCCCCAGGACCCCCTACCCCTTATCCAATCCCCCCACTCCCCGCCCCCTTACCATGCCGCTCAGAGTGGCAGGACTGGCTTATTGGAAAGCCTGGGAGGTAGGCAGGCACAAGCCCGGCAGGAGTGGTGGGTCAGAGTGCTCCCCGTATGGCTGCGGGGGAGGGGGGACAGCAGGGGAGGGGCTGGGGGCTAGCTAGTTTACCCACCTCTCTCTTAGAGCCATTGTTAGAGGTTCTTTACAGATTCAAATGGGCATTATGTAGGCCAGGGTTTGGCTACACATGAAAATTAATCTGGAATAAAATAGGGTATGAATTAAAATAGGATTATCTATTCCCAATTAACTCACATGTGGACACTCTTATTCTGGAATAAGCATGCTTTATTCCAAATTATCTTAATCCACTGCATTAAACTAATTGAGAACAAGACACTCTTAGTGCAGAGTAAGAGCGTCCGCACATGGAACTATTTAGGAATAGTTATTTGGGAATAGCTATTATGGCATAACTCCAATGTAGGCAAGCCCTTACACACAGGTCATGTTTTGAGATTATTTTCCCAAATGTAAGAGCTAGAAATTTAATTTTTTAAACAAAAGCTGATTTTCTGGAGCATGGTTCCGTGGCAGCGACTGAAGCTGATATTGCAGAATCACAGAATATGTGGAGCTTTGTTTATATATTTTATAAAATACCATGCACATGTATGGTGCTGTCTAAATAATAAGGCAATGGGTTAAATAAATGTTTGTTTGTCTGTATTAGGGCTGTTTTGTAGGCTGCAGCCTCTCTTTGTCCAGAGACAGTTGAGGAATTCAATCGTTAATTGAAATTGTATCTGAATTTTTAAGGAATCAGTTTACAAAGGAACCACAAAGCCCAGGTTGAGGCCTTGGAGTCTGGTACAAGCATTTACTAGGCTGAGACTTACAAATATCCCGAGATGGGAATAATATTAAAGCATTTTTCTTTAATGGATTTCTTTGGTGTCTGATAAGCAAGGGCACCAGATAGCTGAACTTGGTCTATTGTTGCCATCATGTAAAGAGAGACTAAAGCCCCATCTTCCTCCAGTTATAACTCAGTCAGGGGACTCAGTTTCCACATATTTATGGGATGACCAGGTTACAACAGGTTATAAATCTGTAGCCCAGATGCTGTTATGAGAGAGTGATATATTATTATTAATTATTTGTATTGCAGTAGAGCCTAGGAGCCCCAATCAGGGACTAGGACCCCACAGTACAAAAAGACAGAACAAAAAGACAGTCCCTGCCCCACAGAGTTTATAGTCTAAGTAGCTGTGCAGCCAAGGCCTTTGTGGGGAGGGGAAGCAAGGATTCACCTCAACCAGTTCTTAAAGTGGTCTGAATAAAGTTTGTGGGGATCTATCATAATCTAGGAGCAGCAGCTTTGGAAAGACAATGCTTAAAGTGCACCCCTCAGCGACCCAGACTGATTTAAAACCTTATTTTTGCTGGGTCTGCGACCCCTTGTAACCTGCCCTGGCACAAACTGACCTTACACATTGACCACAGCCAGCTACTGTACAGTGTGACTAACCCTGCGCAAGCAAAAAATCACAAGTCAGGCCCCCAAAATCACAAGATTTAAATATATATATAAAACCACAGGTCTCTTTCCCTTCGCCTTCTCATTTACAAGCCTTTGGGGTGAAGCGACTCTCACTTCACAACAGCATCAGGCGTTTCTCCACCACCCTGAGTGGCTGCAAACCAGGCTGGAGATCCTCAGGCAATTCCCTGACCCTAGCGGCTGGGGTGAGACCTCCCCCTTTCCATGAGCGTGTGTGCGTGTGAGCATGTGTGAAATTCTCACACAATCCCATGACTGCAGCAGCTGGGGCAAAACCTCCCCCAGCCCCAGCCCGCACACACGTGAGCACTGCTAACAGGTGACATTCTCAGGCAATCCGCTGACTCCAGCAGCTGGGTCCAACCCCCCCCCCATATAGTGATGTGTGTGCATTAAAGTGTGTAAACCCAGCCCGCCCCATGCACCCCGGGGGTCAAAACCCCCCTCCCAGTGTGGACTGGGCTCGAGCCGCGGCCCGCATCCACCCCCGGGCCCTGCCTGGAAGGCACAGGGCAGCAGCGAGGCCGTTGCAGTAAGGCCTCACCCCACCCCTTACGCCTCTGTGACGCCCCCTGTGGGGAGGGTGCCCGCGAGGAGGGGTGGGCGGGGCCCCGGGACGGCTCCTCCAATCCTACACCGCGTCTCCTCCCCGCTCCCAAGGTTTGAAGCCCCAGGGCGGTGCCTTCGGGTCCTCTCCGGCCAATCAGCCCCGCGCTCCCCGTAGATCGGCACTTCTGCAGAGCGACTCAGAGTGTGCCCGGCTGGTTGCTAGGCGCCCCGGGAAGTCCCGCCCCTGGGCGTGGCCAGGCGAGGCAGCCAGTGCCGTCCGGTGTTGCCTCACGCGCCCACCGCGGTCGTTTGGCGGCGTCCTGAGGCCGAGGCTGTGCGGGTGAGTGGGGGCGGCGGGGCCTCGAGCGGGGGCAGGGCGGTCGGTCACCCGTGCGCGGAGCTCGGGGCCACCTCAGCATGGCGGGCGGGGTGGTCATGGCGGAGGGGGACAGTTAGCTCCCGTGGGGGGGGACCCTGATCCGCGGGGGGGGGGGGGGATAGGGGGGAGGTTGGCCCCCCGGGGGGGGGGGGGGGTGACCCTGACTCTGGGGAATGGGGGGCAGTTTCCCTCATAGGGGGTGATCCTGACTCTGAGGGTGGGGGGGATGGGCAGGTGGCCTCCATGGGGGAGTGATCCTGACCCTGTGAGTGGGGTGGTCACAGAGGGGCAGGTGCCCCCCCCCGGGGTGTGTGTGACCCTGACTCTGGGATGGGCTGGTCATGTAGGGTTGGGGGGAAGTTAGTCCCCGTGGGGAGTGACCCTGGTCCTTGGGGCAGGTTGGTTGTAGTGGGGGGGATGGGAACAATTACTCCCCGTGGGGAATGTCCCCAAACAGGGATTTCCCTACCTTCCCCCGGCCAGTCGTTTTCCAGCTAGATCTAGTTTTTAAAATTTTCTAGTTCGAAAAAAAATTCATTTTGTTGTTTGGAAATTTGAATTGAAGTTGAAACATTAACACACACTTTAAAAGCATATGTATGATAAAATACTTGTTCCTGAAAATGCATAGTAGGTTTGAAACCTATGAACAAAGACTAGCTGCCTCCCGCAGCTGTTTGTTCCGACAGTGCTGGCTCATTCATTTCAGAGAGGTTGGCCGACCTAATAATTTCAAATTATAATTTATAAACAACAGTAAATCATCATAATTCAAATGCTGATGTTTATTGATGTTTTATGATGTTTAAAATGTGAGACCAAGAGTTAGCGCCAAATTGCTTTGCCGACAAAAATGTATGAAACTTGCTTACAGTAGCTGGGCAGCCACAGCAAGCTTAACTCCTCCTTTCATGAAGTTTCAATAAAATTTATGCATATATATATATATATAGAAGGAATTAATATAATTTCTTGTTCTTGGGATGACTAGATTAGTGTGTTTAGTGACTTTGCTCTAGAATGCTAGATTTGTGGCATATATAGAAATATATGTTTCCTATTAGGCAAGGTTTTTAAAATGCCTTATTTGCCAATGTCGTTATCTTGCATTGTTGCTATCTAGAGAGGTCATTATCTTGGGGAGTTTCTGAACTAAACACTTAATAATAATTTTTCAAAAGTCAATTTAAATTAAACACATTAAAAATGATATATATTTTGCTTTAGAAATCTAAAACTGTTGTGTTTGGTGTAATTTGCATTGTCCTATGTTAAATTTGCATTATCCTAACAAAACATTAAATTTATTAATTATGACAGTCTGTACTCTTATGTTCACCCTTTTTACAAGGCTAGGATAAATAAATGTACAAAGAATGCCTTGTGAGGTATCATTTGAAAACTCATAATCTGTCAAACTTTATTGTCCTGGTAAAATGTGTGGCAACATTGTATGTGAAGTTATAGAATTCTACTTTATAAGGCATGTTCCAAATCTGGGGAACCAGCTTCAAACCGGTTCCCCAGAGACAAAAAACTAGCCAACACTTCATCCAGGTGTCAACAAAATCAAATGGACTATCACCTGGTTAATTGGCCATTCTTTGGCAGAAAGAAAGGTGTGAGTGAGAACTTTACACATTGACAGCAAAACAGCTGGAAGTTTGTCCTCCAGTCTCCTGTCATCTGAACCCTAGATGAAGATGATCTTCAAAGGGAAAAGAGAACTATAAGAAATGAGGAGAGAAACCCCCAAACACTCCTTTCTCTTTGCTCACAGCATCAGAAACACCTGAAGGAACACTGAACTGGGGAGGGAGCTTGTCTGAAAGGATTCTAGCCAGCGAGACTGCAAAAGCATGTGGCAAGAAAGACATTGTACTTTGAATTCACTTAGCCCGTTAAGTAAGTTATTAGTTGCGTTTTGCCTTTTATTTTTTTTAACCAATTTTGACTTTTATGCCTCATTACTTGTAATCACTTACAGTCTTTCTTTCTGTGGTTAATGAACTTGTTTTATTGATTTATCTAAACCAGTGTGTTGGATTAAAGTGTTCGAGGAATCTCTACCTGAGATAACAGGGTTTGTGCATATCACTTTCTGTTTATGAAATGATGGATTTTATGTGAGCTTGCATTGTCCAGTAGAGTGTTGGGCAGTACAAGATGCATATTTCTGGGGGAAAGTCTGGGACTGGAGAGTTTCCTGGTGTTCTGCAGTGTAATTCATGAGTGACTGACTATAGCACTCATACTGTGTAGCTGGGAGCAAGTTACATGCTGGAGGCTGTGTGTGAACAGACCAGGAGTGGTCGTTCTCGCAGTGTAAAAGACACCCCAGGTTCAAAAACTAAGGGGAAACAGCTGTTCAACAGTCCAGATTGTACCTTGGGTAATGTCACATTCTTATATGTTTTATATGTTGCAGGTCAAAGTGAAAATGAAAAGACAAAAAACAATTCAACAATTTTTCCACTCAAAGGCCTCAAATCAGCCAAGATGAAGAACATACCAAGCATCAGGAATATACCAACATGTCATCTGAAGGTTCAGGTGGCGTATCTACATCCGAACAGTCCGAAGCACAAATACAACTACCTACTGAAGAAACAGTGTCTCCACAACCTGAAGGCAGTTCCTGATGTTTGTCGGTCAAGCTTTTTCCATTTATTAAAGTTACAAAAGATGGTGCACCTCTTGCAAAAAACTTATGAAGAAGGAAAGTTTCCCACTGCTATAGTTGGTAATACTGGAGGAGCTTAGGTCTGGCAAACTATCAGCAAAGCCAATGCTGATAAACTACATGAAAAGGCTGCAAAACACCAAGCCTCTGTACTGCATCAACATGCAGAAAGCCTTATAAGCCAGTTACTGTCAAAACAAAATCTAGAAGTACTTAGTGAGGCCATTAAGAATGCTGAATGCACAACGCAGTTTGTGGGAACAAACATGTCGGTCGCATCATACTTTCTATTTAAGCAAGAGATACCACACACTACAAACTGGAGGTCAGTGTTAAGTGCATTGTCACTTGTTAACCCTGAACAAGACCGGCAAATGCTCACTATCTTTCTGCAAGAAACTCAAGTAAGTGGTTAGAAGCATGCGGTGCAACAGTGAAAGACTCAGCAGTTGAAAAAGTGAAGAATTCTCTTACCACATTCAAAAACTTTGCATACATGGCTCATGAATGCACTGATGCAAGTGGGTGTCAAGTATTAAGTCATTGTGTACGTTATCTTGATGTCAGTGGTAGGCCAGTGGATGCATTTCTAGATGTTCAGGTTATAGAAGACACATCGGCTGCATCTGTGACAACCCACATCTTAGAAGAGTTAAATGTTTGTAAATTGGACCCCAAACAGATGGCTGCTTGTGCATTTGATGGAGCAGCAAACTTCTCTGGAAGACATGGTGGAGTACAAGCTTTGCTCAGAGAAAAGTGTAACCCTAATCTCTCCTATACACACTGCAAAGGCCGTCTACTCCAGCTAGCACGAGCTGCAGAATCTTCAAAAGACATTAAAAAAGCCATAATTGTAATGTCTTCATTGTACTCTTTTTTTTTCAGCAAGAGTCCAAAAAGACTGAACGTATTGGAAGAAATAGAAGATGCTCTGGGACTGAAGTTCAAATTAGTCCAAAAGAAAACCCACTGGCTTTCTCATGAGCTATCCTTGGCTGTTGTCTTAAAATTACTGCAACCCTTATTACTGGCTTTAGAAAGTATCTACCAAGAGGGGACCGATCTAAGTAGTGAGACTGGTGCACTACTTTTGCTATTATGTTCAGAGAAAACAATCACTATTCTCTCTCTTGTAAGTTTACTGTTGAAACCACTTGGGTCATTAAACAATGCCATCTAGGCATCTGCTACAACAGTAGTAGATCTTTGTCCAGCAATAGAAGCTACAGTTGGATCAATCAGAGAAATATCCATTGACAATGTACTGGAAGAAGCAAAGACTTCAATCCAGAAGTTAACTAATGAAGGACTAATGACTCTTCCTTAAGTAAAGAGGACAAGAAGTGTTTGTTAAGCCAGCTGAAAAAGTACATTGACTTGATTCTTACAAATCTACAACAGCAACTTCTGGATTCTACTCAACCTCTGTGTAGCTTTTACAGATGTCTGTCTTATAAAACACCTGCAATTGAGTGGAGTAAGGCACTGCCGGCAATGGGGCCGCCATGTGATCAGGACAGAATAGAGAATTTGAACGCAGAGTGGACTGTCATGCAACAAATGAATGAAGATTTGACTGCAGCTTCTTTTTTATCATTGTTAGTGGCTCAACCTGATCTTTGTGCTATGTTTCCTGGGATGAAAGAAGTAGGAATTCATCTCTTGCTACTCCCAGTCACAACAGCTACAGTTGAGCGTTCTTTTTCATCATTGAATAGGATTTTGTGTTGTGAAAAAAGTCGCCTTCTGCCTGATCATGTGAATAAACTAATGAGCATATCAATTGAAGGACTGGAAGTACCGGACACACGAGAAGCCACCAAAGATGAACGCACTGCATTAGAGAAGTTCATTAACAGAGTTGTGCAAAATTACAAGAAACCAAGAAGGATGTAGATGTAATGCTTCACAGAAGGCTTGAATAGCCAACTTCATTTGTGTGATGATTTTAAAATGAATTAAATCTAATAAAATGCTTGTGGAACATTTTTCAGTTTTTACTGTGGTGCCATACAACCCGCCTTCGTCCTCATGGTCTCGCCCCTTGGCTCTCACACCCCCTGTAAATTCAAACACCGCCTCTAATTTCAATTCCTGTGGAGAAAACAATGTGGGGTAATCATGGGGAGATGGCGGACAGTTAGCCCTCATGGGGGGGGGGGGGGGGGGGTGGGCCTGACTTTGGGGGCGGGGGGGGGGGCGGGTGTGTGCACAAGGGAATGCTTGGTTCTTCCCCACAGCTGGGTGGGGGCAGAGGGATACATAGTTATCCTGGTGCGGGGTGAGTGACACTGTACCACCTCCCCCCTCCACACACACAGGGGCAGATTGTCCCTGCTTTGAAGTAACCACTGACATGGAGTGCAGGGAGGCTATAATTTCTGACAGGTGAGACCGTTCCCATATTAGGAAGTTCCTGATTACTATTCATCTATCTTGCTGCAGGCAAGGTTGGATCCCATTTTAATTCCCACGTGCCAAAATCTGTTCCCCATTGCCAGTAACTATTTTTTGGCAGATGAGGGAAATTTTCCTGGTTCTCTTTCTTGTCCCAGTTGGTGGGTGAGGATGTTTTCGTGTTTGACTGGGAATATTCATGGAGATTGCTCGGGACGGTTTTAACCACGTACATTTGTACTGTATTGCAGCCACAACATGTTATAACGTGTTTTGGTCCCAACAGGCCTGATGGTCTCGTAACTGGTTACCCAGCATGGTTGATTATTTTGAACCTGTGTTGTGCATGAGCTGGCTTATAAGATGGTTTGGTCAGTTTTTAGTTATAGAATCATAGAAATGTAGGTCTGGAAGGAACCTCAAGAGGTTATCTAGCCCAGTGGCTCTCAATCTTTTTGGGCTCAGGACCTATTTGTAAATGTTTATGGTCCATTGTAACCCAGTAAATAGTCTAGGGATGGAGGTCTTGGGTGGTTTTGGTCAGATCCTGTGGCACTCATCCCACAGTGCTGGCTCCTGCAGCTCCTGTGCTGTGGGGCTGGCTGCAGGAGCCATTTGCGTGAGTGGAGTTGTGACCTGCTCATGGGGTTACAGTGCCGCTTACTCAAATTTGGCCTACCCAGACTCCCGTCGTCATGATAGATGGGCCAAATCTGAGTGGCGCTGGGACCTCAGAGGTTGCCCAGCCAGCCCAGGAGCTGTCACGTGACCATTTGAAACACCAATTTTGGGTACTGACCCGCGGGTTGAGAAACCCTGATCTAGCCCATCTTCCCCCCACCCCACCCTGCTGAGGAAGGATTAATAAAAAAAGACCAGAATTCCATGCTTTAGCCAAGATCTATACCTAGGATAAAGCACATTTTTGTTTTAACCTGGTTAGTACAGTTTAATAATAATACCTAGATTTTCATCACTAGATCTCAAAGTGCTCTACGAAAGAGGTCAGTGTTGTTACTGCCATTTTTGTAGAGGAGAAAATTGAGGCACAGAGGTGTAAAGTGACATGCCTAAGGTCATGCAGCAGGCCAGTGGCAGAACTGGGAATAGAATTGAGGTCTCTCGAGTCCCAGCCCAGTGCTCTATCCATTCTGGTGGACCAAATCATCTTACTACGTGGTTGGGCTACATGAGGGTGTATAAAATTTGGTTCTTGCTGCCATAGAGATGAGATGTTTTTAAAGAATTCCAAGGATCGTTGTTGTTTTTCATGGCTCTGCGTCACCCTCAACAGAATAGCTTCTAATATTAAAGGCTAAGTGCTGGGTGTTGATGAGTATTTAATGGCTGCTTCAAATGACTGTCCTTGCACAACTGGTGTTTGACTTATTATTGTGAAAGCCAGTACCATATCTACAGTATGAAAGGCGCTAGCTATAAGGTGTTAATTCTCCTTACAATATTTCAGCACAATGCAAAGAACTTCACGACTGAAGAGAGAGCTGCATCTGTTGACCACAGAGCCTCCCCCAGGCATTATGTTCTGGCAAAACAAAAACCGGATGGATGATCTACGAGCCCGTATGTATTACCATCATGGTTTGGGGTTTTTTGGGGGGGTGGGGGTGGTATGCGTATCATTAAAATTCTCTCTGCTGTGGTAATGTTTACTGGGCAGTGCCTGTACTTAGCAATTTGGGGATGAAATTAACCCCAGTCCATGACATTTGTTTGATTCTTGTCCACTCTTCATCTTTTTTTTTTTTTTTTTTTGAATTCCCCTTCTTTATGTTCCCTATTGATTGGATCCCTGGTCATGTGGCTAGGCGGCGTGGACCGGGGGGAGTAGTTAAGGAAACAGCCACACTGGTATGCTTCCTGTAACATGAGTTACTGTTGCTAGAAGTAGCTGTAACCCCCTCATGGCTTTTCAACACTGCTGAAGGAGTCTGTGCATGTAGGGGGTTGGATGTGCTTTGCTAACAAGGTTTTATAGATGGCTTGGAGACTCAGGTTTCAGGTTTCCTGCTAAGAGGAAGGCCAGGCATCCACAGAGTTCTCCCTCCATAACTCAGCCTTTGGCCCTTTAGATTAACTCAATTTCAGGCACTGACTTCCAGAAGAAACAATACAGGGGAGCAGTATTGAAGATTATGGCCCTATAATCCTAAACATTAGCTTTGCCACCTTAACCCACGAGAGTGCTTGGGTCACTAGGCCAATTCTCAGTCCTGGTTCTAGGGCTGAACATTATTTCAACGTCTTTTTCAAGTATTGGCTGAAAATTCACCAGTTATTGTATCATGCTCACAGTCTGGAACTTGAAAAATTTTCTCTCCTTCAGAAGTTGAAATTGGCCATGACTCCTGAAGTATGAGAAGGGAGGAAGTATCAAGGCTTCGCCTGGATATAAACATAGGAAGGTCAGACACACGGAAGGAATTAGTGAAATAACATACTCTTTCTTGACTATGCGGAGCACTCGCTTAGCTGAGCTCCAGCAATACAATTTTTGTCAGTGAAGAGGTTCCAACCTGTAACAGTCACACTCTTTTTGCTTCCAAAATTAGATAACTAATGATTGTTTAGGCTCTCCCTAGTTCTCACTTAAAACATAGGGGTTATTGACCTTACTGCACAGCAGGGTAGAACAAAATGTGACGAGGTGGCAGTGGTTACTTCTGTTGGCAGATCCGGACATTGCTACAGTTAAAAACGGTGTGATGGGAATGCACGACTGTAGCAGAAGCATGATGGGAGTGGGAGCGGGAGCGGGGGGAACACTTACCCATTTTGAATGTTATAGTTGTCTAATTTTTTTTCTTTAAGAAATTTTGGGTGGTACAAACACGCCATATGATAAAGGAGTTTTCAACTTGGAAGTAGTTGTTCCTGAAAGGTAATTAAATCACTGCATCTAGGAAGGTGGGCAGACGGGGGAACACACATAGTAAGAAGGAATTTTTTTTTAACTTCCTGTCAAACATGTCAGTTTGTGTGAGATACGAAGAGGTGGTATCCTGTATATTAGGAGCATTGGAGCAATGGGCATAAAGTGTAATAGTTTGCTTTTTTGCCTTCAGCCTCCCTGTTTGTGACATTATCAATCAGTTTTTAGGTGAGAGAGATTTTATTAATGTACTTATTTATTTGTAATATGAAGATTTCACTTTCAAACTCCCAAGGTGTGTAACAATGCACAAAAAAATCGAGAAATACTTTGTCAGGATCCTTAAATTATTTTGATGCCTTTAAACAATTTTGAAAGGGGGGAAAAAGTACCTGTATGGTGCATAAATTCATGGAGAATAGGTTCATCAATGGCTATTAGCCAGGATGGGCAGGAATGGTGTCCCTAGCCGCTGTTTGCCAGAAGCTGGGAATGAGTGACAGAGGATGGATCACTTGATGATTACCTGTTCTGTTCATCCCTCTGGGGCACCTGGCACTGGCCACTGTCAGAAGACAGGATACTGGGCTAGATGGACCTTTGGTCTGACCCAGTACTGCATCTTTTTCCTGTTTACAGCTGAAGTGAATTGATGTAACTAAAAGAGATGTCAGGGAAAATGAGAAAAGCAAGTAATCTGAGGCAATGAGAAGTTAGCTTCCGAGCAAAAGGGAATTTAGTGCTGTGCAAAGGACAGAAACCAAACTGAAAACAGTCAAGGCCATTGTGTTAGAGGGCATGACCAGAGATGGGGCTGTTTCCTCCAAAAACTTGCTGAGGAGAAGATGGTTGGAATTTGCAGGTGGCTGGGGAGAGGACACTATAGTGTTGTTTGTGGTAATGTGGCAAATGGAATGCTAATGGAACTGAACATTCAATTTAGATTATATTTCAAATGAAATCTGTTTCTTTAACACCTGTTCTTTAAAGATATCCATTTGAACCCCCGAAGATTCGCTTTCTGACACCCATCTACCATCCCAACATTGACTCTGCTGGAAGGATTTGCCTGGATGTTCTCAGATTACCGCCCAAAGTAAGGCAGTGCTACTCTAGTGGGGATCAACAAAGTTACAGATGATGCTAAACTCCCCTATTGTCCTGGCTGTAAAAAGCTTCACTGATATTTAATATTGGCTCTTGTTTACATGGATACTCATGATACAGGCGACTGTATAATGCATGCCATTGGTTACTCACTAAGATGTATTTTCCTTTGCTTTTTTTGATGCTTTAAGGGCTGGGATTTTCAAAGGGACCTATGAGTCAGGTGCCCCTCTGAAAATCACAGCCTGGATCCTGATACAATACAGATGTAGATGACACTGCGGGTCAGTGTTAATTAAGTTGGAGTGAGATCTCTGTGTAACTAGAATTGCTCTCTTGAAATGGCCCGAATAGAAGCTGCAGGGCTAATTGGTATGAGCACTGTGCCTCTGTCTGTCTGCTGTAGAGCAAGTTAGCACTGTAGCTGTGGTGAACCAAAAGAGTGAGAGCCAGGTCGGTCCTGGAATGGTTTTTCTCCTTTGTAGGAGAGGTCAAAACCTTACTGGTTTGAGATCCACTAACCTGGCATCAGATGTCTTCCCTGCTGTATAAACTGACCACCTGGTGGTAACCACCTTATGTACTGCATTGAGGTCTGGAAACTCCAGAGGAAAATTTGTTTTCTGTATGTCAGCTAATGATCAGACTTCTTTTCCCTGTTAAGCTCTGTTTTTTATTATTCTGTTTCTGTGAAGGGTGCATGGAGGCCGTCCCTGAATATCTCCACGTTGCTGACCTCCATACAGCTTCTGATGAGTGAGCCTAACCCTGATGACCCCCTCATGGCAGACATAGTACGTACTCTTCTTTTGTTCCTTTGGTGCAAATGCTGGTGCATGCAAGTTAGAGCAGAGACTATATGGTACTTGTGCTCATTCTTCTATATAGGGAACTAAGAGTGTTCACAGGTGCTTGATTAAGTGTCTATCCTCCTTGTCTCTTGCTTTATTATTTCTAGTCCTCGGAGTATAAATACAATAAGGAAGTGTTCATCAGAAATGCCAAACAATGGACTGAGAAGCATGCAAGCCAGCAAAAGAGGGTAAGAAATGTACCATGCTTTGACTCTGCTACAAAAGAATTGGGTGTAGGCTAATCTTCACATGTATAATCTTGCTAGTCCTCAGGAAGTAATATGAGTGACGCAGATATAGGCATCACTTTCAATAGCCTCTAACCCACTGACCCCAGTGCATTTTTGGATGTCTATTTCAAGTTCCAATTCCAGTATTTTTTTATTGGGAGTGGATTGCCTGTCTTCATAGAATTGAGTCCCTGGGTTGCCAGGGCTGTGATTGTGCCCTAATGTGAACTCTCTGAATTTAACTTCGCTCTTTAAGAAATTTTTGTTAATTCTGTTTAGGTAAACTTTACTTTGTTTCCCTACCCATGTTGTCATAGCTAGAGATTCCTGTGTATGTGGCCTAGGATACACTTAAAGTTTTGTCCGTATAACTATACTGGTATAGTTATGCAGGCAAAACCTTCCTAGTGTAGACACAGCTTATACCAGCAAAAGGACTTTTTTGCTGATATAACTGCAGCTAGGTGTACGCTATAGACTTCTACTTGGATAACTGTCAGTTGGGATGTGAAGAGGTGTGTGATCCCTGACTGACAGAGCTGTGCTGGCAGAAGCCCCTAATGTAGATGCAGGTATTCCAGCAAAGCTGCTCTTCTACCAGTATAGTTTGTCTCATTTGTGATGGGGTTGGAGAGGTGGTTTTACCATATATGTAGACCATATTCTGTCGGCGTAGCTGTGTCCACACTAAGTGTGCTTTCCTGGTATGGTATATTGATATTCCTGTACCAGTAAAGTGCTCCTAGTGTAGACATAGCTTGTGTCTACACTAGGGCTCGTTTCTGGTTCTAAAAACTTTTATTTAAAAACATCACACCCATAACTGACATTATTATACTGGCAACATTTCTAGAGTATACCTGACCTCTATCTCAGGTGAGTCCTTCCACTTCCTGTGTCTGCTCTGCATGGACTTACGCAAAGTGCCCTGGGATATTTTTAAGAGTTGGAGTCTGTCAAAATGTCCCTTCCTGTTGTACTTTGTGCTGGCTTTCTGTTTGTGTAATATAAATGTACAGTTATATTTGGGAAATGTATGGTCATATGCAGATTATAGAAGGGGATTATGTCCTCTTAACATGGGGATTGCTCATGACATCTGTCACAGGGTGGCTGGCCCCTGTAACTGAGTAGGTCCAACTCCCCTATGTCAGAGCAGGTGCTCCCAGGTGTAGGCCAGGTAAGGGAGCAGAGTTGCACCTGCTGCTGTAGAGTGAGTTCCACTGAAGGGCTGGCTATGAGAAGGAACTGGCTGATGGAGAGTGAGACAGGAAATTGCAGGAGGCAGGACTGCCAGAATCCCTGTCGAGGGGAGGTATTGAAAGCCTGAGATTCAAAGGGTGAGCTGAGAATGTTTTTGTTGGTTTGTTTAAGTTTGGGAATAAAACTGCATTAAAGAGACTGTGGGTGTGGCAGAGTGTTTTGGCAAGCTGGGGAGAAGCCCTGCCTTGTGACAACATCCCTCTACTAGTATTTGTGAGAGGTTAAATGAATTTAACAAAAGTTGATTCCATACTTTATTATTTATTTGTATTGTGGTCATGCCTAGAAGTCCCAGTCAAGGCTTGGGATCCCTTTGTGCTAGGCACTGTGTGTATACACACATACACACTGAACTGAGGGTCCCCGCCACAAAGACTTTGCAGTCTGAGTATATATAATGAGAGACAATGGCTGGATACAACGAATGTATGGGGGAGCAGAACGAAGTAGTGCAATGATTATGATTAGAGTAGAAAGCAGAGGGCAGACACACCAGCTGCCCAGCCAATGTTACGTGTTTTGTAAGCATTACAAATGTACTAACCCTATATTCACAGGCATGGAATATGATGGTCACTCCTCTCTGTGGTTTTACCATGCGGGTAAAACATATAGGGCCTGCTATTCAACTCTTTTTTCCTTATGTGTAGCTCCTGAAGATGGAGCTAGACATTTTAGTTCTCCTCCAACAAATTTATTCTAGTCATAATGGACTGTGTCTCTAGCTGCCCCAGTGCTGTGGTGACGCTCAATGGGGACAAGGGAGTGGGCTGTCAACCCACTGAAGACTTTCTGGCAGGTGGGTTTCCTTAGTATCATGTTTGTTTGGGAGAGATCTCTTATGCTGAAGCATATTAGTGAAAGGATGAGATGATATAACTAGGCATCCTTCTGCACCCTCACCTGATGGAATGCCATGGTCAGGAGTCTTCCCAGAACTCCTTAGGCAACATTAAAAACATTTTCAGATAAAGTGTATACCTGAAGTCCTATGTTTAGGGTGGCTAATAGGCTCAGCAGGAGTTCCCTGGGATTTTACTCTTTGAGCAAGCTCCTGTATGTGTACAAAGTTGAGGCCCTAGTAGACCTAGTGTGAAAGGAGTGAGGGCAACAGGTCTGTCATAGTAGTGATGGAGGAGAAATTGCCCCTTGCACAGCACGAGACAAATGGTTGTAGGCACAGAATGCTAGGGCAAGTTTAGAGATGTGGTCTCTTGAGGCAGAAAAACATGCAGCCAGCCGCTGCCCATTTCCACATGCTCAGCAAAGAGACTGTTTTAGTATTCTCCCCTGGACGCAATGGGAGGGAGTGGAGCTCGTGATAGAAGGGATGCTCTAATTTCTCAACACATCAGTTACGGAGAGATAAAAGAAGGCTACTTAGGGTCTGATTTTCCATTGTCCTGTACCGTGTGTTGTCATGTAGGCCAGTGTAAAGTGCTCAGTTGGCAGCGTTACTCACTTTGCACTGCTGTGAATGACTGCATGAGGTGTTGGACCGTGGAGAATCAGGTCCTAGATGTGTGGAGGAGAGGAAAAAGCAGGGACCCTGTTACTACCCCCCACAACTAGCTGCTAGGATGGATTGTGACTCAGAACTCTTCATAGTGCTTGATTAGAGAAGTGCAGCAACTGCGGAATAGCTTCTGTTTATTGACCTTTCAAATAAAATGGCTTTAACAAAGGAGTCAAAGGCGGCCTTCAGCCTCAGTTGGTTAGTGTTTCCTTTTTCCGCTCAAATATCCAGCAAGCTGTAGAGGAAACAACTAGAATTGTTTTGCAGTTGTAACACTAGGGGGCACCTGCACCCTTGACAATTGTCTGACTTCTGGAAAATAGCTGGGCAGTCTCATTCCCCAGACTAATGAAAATGAGGTACTTGTTGACCAACTTACCTTCCTACTGGAGAATGTACTTGTCTTGTTCCTCCAGTAGGTGGTGTATTTGGTTTTGTATTATCTCAGCTTCTCATGGCAAATGGGGACTGATGTCTGACAGAGTCCTTGCCTCCCAGGCTCTGCACAGCTCTGTGCCTGCCCCTTGGCTCACTGCTTCCACCAACCCCTGTTCCACTTGGGCCCTGTGCTCCCTTTTTGTCACACTCCCTTTTTGTCTTTCTCCCCCAAGCACCTCTGTGGGCACCCTGTGTGCCCCAAACAAGCTCTCTGATCCTGCGTGCCATGGAGCCATTGTGCTATCCCAACACCCCATTTCTTCTGCTGATCTCCCCTAACCTGACCACTCTCCTCCCTTAAATTAGTAATTTAAATCACATTTTAAAACTATGGGGAACTAACCCCATATAAACAATCAGCCTTGTGACATTACTTTGTGTAAGCCTTGTCCTCCCCTATCTGCATCCTTGAGCATTGTCTGTCCCAAAGTCCTCTCTAACTTAGGCTGTAAGCTCTTTATGCAGGGATTGTTTCTTTGATTTGAAAGGTCTGTCTCCTATGTATACAGGCCTTGCTTTTGTGACTGGCAGGTCCATTGCAATGTAACTGTCACGGGAGGCTGTGATGGTGCAGGGTGAGGAGATCCCTTGGGTAACAGTCTCTCAGCCCTATAGGTTTTGCTGATGGGGACTGAGACATTGAATGTGCCCAGTTTTCAATGGGGTGCCAGTATTGTGAGCAGAATAGTAGGATAATGCACACCTGGCACCTGTGTTGCTGCAACATTCTGAACTAATGGCAGGTTTGTTTAAGATTGTTGATTTCATAGCTAGGTACAGAGAATTACAGTAATCAAGCCTGGAGGTCCATGAATGTGTGGATCAATGTGGCCAAGTCTGCACCTGCCAGGAGGATGCAAAGTTGTCATAGCAGTGGAGCCCTGCAAATTTGCAGATATCCCTTTTATATCTGCGGATATCCATGGATCACGTTTGCGGCTTGTGGATCGGATGCAGGTACAAATTTTGTATCCGTGCATGGCTCTGCATACTGGCCGTAAGTTGAAAAGGGCATTCCCCTGTGGCCGTAGATACTGGAATATCCAATCCAAGTGGACACTAGGCCTGTGGGTTGTTTCAAGGATTTGAGAGGGAGGCTGTATGATGCAGGGTGATATTGCAAAGGTGCTTCTTTTCTCCACCAGCTTCACCTCAATCTTTCCAGTCAGCTGCTCTCATCTAGTTGCTTATTTTAGCTTGTATTCCTTAGGTGCCCTGTAACTCCTTTGTATCCTGTTATGTACTTGGGGGAAAAAAAAGACAATAAGAGTGTTAAGGTTGCAAAGTCAAGCACTTGAGAGTTAGGAAGTGTCAGAGTTAAGGTTGCTTGTACAAACTGAATTTGCCCCCTTCTTTCATAATACTCAGTTTTTAATTAAATGATCACACACTTATTATTTATTTGTATTACTGTAATAGCTAGGAGCCCTAGTCATGGACCAGAATCCCATTGTGCTAGATAAAGGCAAAGTACAAACTTTCTGCCAGAGCCCCCCGGCTTCATTCAGTGCAACAGATGGACAGTATTCACTGACATGGTTATTCAGTGTTTTTATTCTCCTCATTGAGTTACCCTGTGCCTCACTTAGTGCATATCATCCAAATCCTGCTCTGGAGACAGAATTATTAATTCCCTTGTGGGCTTTTCTGGGGTGCTCTTCATTATAGTATCTGAGTTTTCAGAAACATTAATGAAATTATCTTCACAACATCCCTATTGAGGTAGGGAGGCATTAATTTAATCTTATAGTGGGGGAACTGAAGCACAGATATTGAGGCCAAAATAGCCCCAAGTGTCCACAAATTTTGGATGCCCAATTTGAGATGGGCGGGGCCTGATTTTTCAGGTCACTTAGCATTTTTATGGCACTTTGTATGTTCAAACAGTTCCCATTGATTTCAATTAGCAGTTGTAAGTGCTCAGCACGTCTACAAATCAGGCTCCAGAATCTCAAGTTGGGCACCTAGAAAATGAACACAGTGGCCACCTGTGAAAATTTTGGTTTTACGTGACTTACCCAGCATCACATAGGAGCTCTGTGGCCGAATCCAGTTCTTCAGGGTGGCATTCAACTGTTCTAACCACGAGACCATCCTTTCTCTTCCTGTAATTCACTGCCTTATTCACGACACAGTTATCTTCTGCAACAAATGAGGCTGGGCTCCTACCTGTTAAGAGTGCTAATGCCAATGTAAGATTCAGGCCTGTATTTTTGCCTAAGATAGCATTTTGGGTTTTGCTTGCCTGTTTGAGTCTTGATACACTTACATTCTTACTAATATGTGAGAACAAAGGACAAATGCACTGTGTATGTTGCTTCTGCCTAGCCAGATGGGTTTATTAGCATACTGGGAACAGATAAGAGCAGATTGTGTTACTAGAGCGCACACTTTAAGACTGCCTCAACTCCTCTCTCAAGGCAAGGTCAAGCAACCATTGGGGAGGGGCAAATGGGGATTGGGGGGAAGGTATAAAACACTAAAAGGCCAAAGAAATGCCTGTCCCTGACCATAGCACAACCTCACTCCTTACCCCTGCCATGGGGTACAAAAGAGGTGGGACGAAGACCCACGACCCCCCAAAATGGAACAGGACCATAAGTTGTAAGGGGTGGGACTATGGGCGTGCATCTCAGGTATAATTATGCCTGCTGAGGAGGGCTGGGACAGGACACTGGGAAACAAGGCTCTGTGGTATCAGAGTTGTGGGACACATGCTTGCTGGAAACTAACCCCAATAAACATCGCATTGCCTGCACTTCGGATTTCTGGTCTTCTGCTTTCTGCCTGGGTGACAAGAACCAGGGGAGAGGGTGAAGGGAAAACACTCTTAACAATATGGACAATGGCTTCTTTCACTATGCAAGCCTGATTTGTTCCCTGAACACTGCTCATCTTGTGTACTGAATGAGATGGGAGTCCTCAGGAAAAATAGTATGTGATCATGTAATTAAAGGGGAGGAGGGGAACTTAGGGCAGGTCTACACTAGAAAGTTAGGGTGATCCAGCTATGTCACTCAGGGATGTGAAAAATTCACACCTCTGGGAGACGTAGTTAAGCTGGCGTAATCCCCAGTGTAGACAGTGCTAGGTTGACAAAAGAATTCTTCCATCAACCTAGCTACTGACTCCCAGAGAGGTGAATTTACGACAGTGACAGAAGAACCCCTTCCATCACTGTAGCGAGTCTCTACGCTACATCTATGCTACTGTAGCGTTTCTAGTGTAGACATAACCTAAGGCTCTACTTGTTATGGCTGTGGGGGGAAAAACAACCTTGAAAATGTGACCCAAGTGTCACCATCTGCCTGAGTGAGAAACAAATAGTTCTAAAGTGTGAGCTGCCTCATTTGTCTCATGGGCGATGACTCGGATGCCAGTGATAATACTTTAAATAAAAACATAGTTAACTAGAGTTGGTTGACATTTTCACAGGAATGTGTTTTTTTGGCACAGTTTTTGATTAATTTTCCCCTTTTTTCCTTCACTCCCAAAATTCGGGAAGTCTGAAGAGTTAGAAAGTTCCAGAGTGGCAGAAGGAAACATAGGAGTGGAAGGGACTTCCTGGATCATCAAGTCCAGTCCCTGCTATCACAGGCAACCCCATCAAATAACGTGGATCATAAATTTATCAAACTCTGTCTTAACACTAGTTAGGTTGTTCACCCCACTGCTTCTATTGGGAGGCTGTTCCAGAACTCACTTTTCTGATGGCTAGAAACCTTCTAATTTCCAGCCTAAATTGGTCAATTTATACACTTTTAGTGTTGGATTTGTATACAGTAGTCTGAAGTGCTTTGGGATATTTCCCCCCACACACTGTGTTATAAATGTGTAAGTCTGGCAATAATTTTCCAAGAGGAAGTGCTAGTGTGTCTCCAGGAAGTGAACGCTCCTTCTAGGGCAGACTTGATCTTTCAAACTGACTGTGAATGTTACAAATATAAAGGTAACCTTCTTTGTTTGAATCCTTTGTGTCTTCTGTACCAGGCTTCCAAAACTCCAGATGAGGAAGTGACCCAAAGCGAGGCTAGCACTCCCAAAGAATCTGCCATCTCCCAGAAAAGAAAAGCAAATGATATCAGCAAGAAGGGGAAAAAACCCTGCCTCGATTCATAGAGGTTCTCTGTGTAAATAAACATTTTTCTGAATGTGTAACACTGGCAGGTTTCACTTGTCTCTCTGTGCGTGAGCTAATACTTGCGATGGCAGGGGGTTGTTTTCAAATTAAAGCTGCTTTTATTTCAGTAGCATTACATGTTTTGTATTCTTGTTTGTCTTACATTGTTTGTCTCTAAGTATTGTGAAGGAAGGCAGAATTGGGAATAATCAGTCTTATATGTTTGAGTTCTCTTGTGATGATGGTTATTGTGTGAATGAGAAATTGCTTAACATTGCCCATGGACGGTATGTGGCCAGTCTGGCTTTTTTGTGGTTGATGACAGGCTAGAAATTGGAGCACATAATTAAAGGATATACTTGAATTTGTAAGTAATATTTTGCTGTTTCCCGCCCCAATTGAAACATCAGCACACCTGCCTGTAGCAGACACTTCAGTTTCCCTTGTTGGAGTAATAATAGTAAATGATACATGAGTGTGGACATATTGTATACTTTGTATCTCACCCTTTCCCCAGCTATCTTCCCACCTGTGCAATCAGTAACCAGCTCATAAATCAGAAGAACACTACTTCCACAAGCTGAGCAGATGGCTTAATGTTTTATAGCCCAAACTGGAGCAGAGTCTACGGGGAGACTTAAACTGGTGTAATTTATACCTTCCAGTCCCTTAAGGCATATTTGCATCCACTCATCAACTTGTAACTTACACCTCAGGTCTGCATGTGGCCATTGAATGTAAAGGAATCTAAATTTTGGTAATCTTGATACCCGAGGGACTGAAAAAGGTGAGAGTTATTTCTCTTGCTATGCTAACTGGGCTATGTAAGAAATTGTAATTTAATGCAGCAACTGCTATTCCTCACTTCCTTCTGACTTCCCAACATGTGAGTTTTACCAGCTTCACTTCCCTTATGCACTAGTATATAGGTGTAAGAAGTCTAACTTTCAGAGGTACTGCGATCCTATTGATTTCAGTTGGAGTTATGGGTGTTGAGCAATTCTGGCAAAGTCCTGAAAATGTCCATTTTACACCACCTCTGCAATGGGCCCTTAAACTGAATCTGAACTAAGCAGTAGTTTAGTGAATGGAAGTGCTTTGTCACTAGCTTATATTAGGGCTTGTCTGCACTTAAAATACTGTAGTGGCTCAACTGCCGTGCTTCAGAGAAGATGCTTCCTTTGCCAGTGGCATGGGTTCTGCCGTTGGCGTAGGGAATCCACTTTGCTGAGAGGCAGTAGCTCAGGCAGCAAGAGAATTCTCCCGTCGGCCTAGCGCTGTCTACACCAGGGGTTAGGTCAGTTTAACTATGTCTCTTGGGTGTGGATTTTTCAAAGCCCTGATCGATGTAATTATACTGACCTAATTTCCTGGTGTAGGCCAGGCCTTAGACACAAGAGCCACAGCTCTATAGAAAATTACATATTTATGCAGGACATACATGTTAAATCGACTAGGCTAATAGCCTTTATGAATAGGAACATGGAAGCTGCCATGCTGGATCAGACTCATCTAGTTCAGTATCCTGTTTCTGATGATACTGTAGGGCGGGCCCCCAGAGGGCCGTGAAGGCATGTTTGGGCGGTGGGGGGGGTATGGCAAAGCCTAGGCTAGCCCCCACAGAGAGCGGGGAGGGAACATCACCCAGCCCCGCTAAGCCCCCAGCTCTGCTCTGGCCCTGCCCCCAGCCTTTGCCCTGCCCTCAGCTGTGGCTCCTTTACCCCTGTCTGTGCCCTCTTCCCCCCTCCCCGGGAGCTGTGTCCCCAGTGCCTGAAAAGTTTAGGGGCCACTGTACTAGATGCTTCAGAGAAACCCCTTTGTGGGCAATGACACTCTAATGATGTGGATGAATATGGAATTCTTGTGTCTTTGTGCCATGGTTTGTGTATTACCGTAATTTCCAGGAGCCCTAGTTATGGAGCAAGAATCACTGTAAGTGCTGAATCTTATTCCTACATGCTTAATTCTGTAACTAGACCTAGCACTTCACCTACCCCGGAGAAAGAGACTCCCTTCTCTGGCAACACAGGACAGAGAGCACATGGGGAAGGAGAGTGTGCAGGGAAGGACAAAAGAGGTGGAAGGCTGTTTCATGCACAAGGCCAGCATGAAGGGAAATGTGAATCCATGGGCCTAATTCTGCAACCTCTCCTATTGAAGTGAATGGGAGCTCGATGGAGAAAGGAGGGGTGCTTGCAGCAGCTGGGGCTGAGTGCAAGGAGATGAGGCAGTGACAGGCAGGTGGAGGAATGGAGTGAGGCAGAGGAGAGGTTGGGCAGGGCCTTCAAAGTCAACTTATCCTCAGGAGAGAGTTGAATGAGATTTGATTTTTAAAAGAGAACAGTTCCCTGTAGCTAGTCTGTTAATTTCTAGGCCTAAACTTCATGTCTTTGACTACCTGAAACTCCTCAATGAAGTTGGGACCGGAACATGTTAAATTCTCAGGCCTTTGCTCTCCCAGAAGCTGCAGGGAGCCCCTCCAACCACTCCATGCAGACTCAGCGTATAGGCAGCCGGGAAATTAAAGCCTTTGCTTCAGTAGTGCTTCAGTGACGCTCTTCCCCTCCCCTTCCATACAGAGTAATAATAATAGTTGCATCCAAATCAGGGCCGGCTCCAGGGTTTTTGCTGCCCCAAGCGGTGCAAAAAAAAAAAAAAAAAAAAAAAAAAGCTGCGATCTGCGGTGGCAATTCGGCGGGAGGTCTTTTGCTCCGAGCGGGAGTGAGGGACCGTCTGCCGAATTGCCGCCGAATAGCTGGACGTGCCGCCCCTCTCCGGAGTGGCCGCCCCAAGGACCTGCTTGGCAAGCTGATGCCTGGAGCCGGCCCTGATCAAAATATTTCCCATACAGCTCAACAGGAGTTTGCTTCTCCAGTAGGGACTGAACGTGGGGAACAGGGCACAGCCCTTTCTGTACCAATTCTGAGGTAGTTAGTGACGATGAACGTGTGGAAAGTCAATTACCTCCCCTCCCTCAAGTGCTTGAGCATGCAGGAAGTCCCACTGAACAATTAAAATGTGGTTCTGCTCTGAACTGCCTTGGGGAACTCTGTGTGAGTCTCAACGAATCCAGAGCAAATGCGTTCAATTTACCTATAAAGGGATGTTTTCTCCTACTGCTAGCCCCACTCACCTTCAGGGATTGTCTGTGTTAAAGCTTCTGCATTCTGTATTAGATGCACAGAAGGAGCCCAGTTTGACTCTCAGGGCATGTCTACATTATATACATATCCCAGACACAGAATGGAGTTAGCCAAGTCCAAAGGGTTCTGTCTCAGATGGTGTTTGTTTTACCTTCTCTTCTGTATCCCCAAAAGCTTATTGGGCGCGATACTAATGTTAATGAGACATAACCAACCAGTCATGGGTTTTTAACCCCATTCTAGGGGAAAACTGCAGCAATTATAACTTATTTTAAAATTACAATTTATTTTTCTATAGCGTCTTTCATACAGGATGCTTTACAGTTCATATACACAAAGAGGGTGTAGGAATTTAAAGGAATGGTCTGCAGGGGAGGGAAACTGGTTATATATAAATATACACATAATATACACACGCACGCATGCTGGATATTATATATGGCATCATATATACATACAATAACATATACATGGTGTATTAAAGGCATTACATCCAAGTCAGAGTTTCTCTTAGTACAGGCATGTGAGAGATGGATGTGTCCATGGTTTGTGTTTGATATAGGGTAGAATTAATGTTAAGAATAAATGATCAGAATGATATTAATCTGGTGCCCTTTAAAAGCAGACTGTGTTTGCCGCAGACTAACACCTCCAGTAAGACAATATCCCAGAGCATGGTGGCTGATAATGTTAACACTGATTGAGGAGAACAAATGGCAGGCAGCCCTGAGCGTGGTAGAGGATGCATATTTGGAGTAATAAGAAGGAACCGAGAAAAACAGCTCTGGAAGGGTTTATCCATATAAGCACAGAGGCCCAGAGCCTCAACGGTATTTAGGGGGCCTACTGCCCATTGAGACCAATGAGAGTTAGCTGCCTACATGCCTTTGAGGATCTGGACACGAAAGCAAGCAATCACAAAGCTGTCACTGCCCTTTAAAGGGAGTCGGGCTCAGCCGTGCCTGTGATGGGTCAGCTACTCGCCCGCTGATCCCAGCTGGTGGGGGAGCAGATGGCCCTATTCGTTATTAGGCCCAGTGGGAAGGGGTCAAATGGCTGTGTGAGTGCCGCTGGAAGGCTGGCACTGTGGAAGGGTGGTTGTCTCCTCTAGTAGGCCCTGGAGAAGGGCAAATGCGAGGCCCCAAATTAACAGCCACTTTTGAAAATGTTGCCCTTAATCCCCTCCCTTGGTTCCCCCAGCTGCGTAATGGGGAAGGCACAGTTCTGACTCCCGTCCCAGGGCGTGGCGGCGCTCACCGGAGGGTGTCTGTAACGTGTCCCGCGAGGTGCTAAGCATGAGGATTCTCCCACCTGCCGTGGGGTTGCAATGGGTTATTGCTGCTGCCGCTGTGGATGCTGCCTGCTGCCACGTCACTCCCACCTGCTCCATGCGCTCGCCTGTCCTCTTCCAGGACACACGACCAGCAGGACTGTGTGTGGGCTAGTGGCACAGCTGGTAGGGTCAGAGGGCAGCAGGCTTGGCAAGAGCTCCCGCTCCACCACAGAGGCTGTGGGGTCATTCCCTTGGGGAGGGGCGTCTCCCTGGGCTAGAAGCATTTTGGCTCCTTAGCTGCAGGTCCCTCCTGCTCTGACTTGGTATGCTAGGGGCCTGTCTAGGGAAACCCCGGGAAAGGGGTCTCTCTAGCTCCCTCTCTGGGCTCGGGGGGTCCCCTCTTAGGCAGAGGTGGAGGGGACGCAGTGTTTCTTTGTACAGTCGTGCACTTGTGTCCTGCCATGAAAGCCCTGAGCCCTTGGGATGATGGCTCAGGCTGTGCTGCCTGTTGAACAGGGTTATGATGCGGTGGGGGCGTGTCAATGCCTGACACAGATCAGCCTGCGTCTCGTCCCCTCAAGGCCGGGTGGGGGGCTCTTGCTTGGCTCATTTGATGAGGGGCTGCCTGCGTGGCCACTCGGGGGGTTTATAAGTGAGATGTGAAGGACGGTGCGGGCGGGGAAGGGAAGAAGCTGACCCGGAGGCTGCTGCTGGCTGGATCCCTGCTTTCCGAGGAAATCAGCAGCTCGTCATCGGTCAGGCAGGGGTGGCGGGCAGAGTAGCCACTCTCTTGCCCTCTGACACCCATCCTCTGCTGGCAGGGGATGAGCGTCACCGAGGGGAAGCTGTAGCCATCCAGGACGGGGTGCACACCCAAGGCGTCGGACGCCTCAAATATGTGATCGGCGTCAGAGAAGGTCACCAGCGCCTGGGTGGAGTCGTACGAGCTCTTCTCCATGTCATCTGAGGCGTATGACTGGGGGCAGCTGCCCTTGGTCTGGCCCCTGTGTCGCAGCAGGCGCAGGTCGTCTCGGAAGTGGGGGTTGAAGAGCAGATAAAGCAGGGGGTTCAAGCAGGCAGGTAAGGGCAGCACCACCAGCAGGACTGACTTGATGACCTCCGGGGTGATGAGGAAGAGGTTGAGCATGGAGGAGAAGGTGAGGAAGGCTACCGGGCAGTAGAGGAGACAGTTGGTGAAGATCAGCCAGGCCACGTGCTTGATCATGGCACAGTCCCAGAGGGTGTCGAACTCCCCTTTCAGCAGGTTGCAGTAGAGCCGGATGTAGGTGCCCGTGATGATCAGGAAGCAGAGGGTGTTCAGCATCACCAGGGCCACCATGAAGCCCAGGGTGGAGGATTTCCCGTCGGGGATGGGGGACGGGAGGCAGAGAGGGGACGTGCCGTACTCCCCAACGGAGAAGAGTGGCAGCGCCGCGGCCGCGCAGGACAGTGTCAGGCAGCCCAGCGTGGCGGCTTTAACGCTGTTGAAGGAAGGCGACTTCCCATACAGCCGGAAGCAGGAGACCGAAACGCTGCACTGCACAGTGGCCAGAGTCAGCAGGAGGATGGCGGCCTCTGAGGCGAAGACGGACAGGAAGCCCGTCGCCCTGCAGCCCGCGCCCGTCTCCCACCTGGCCCCGTACTTGGCAAACTGCCCATAGGTCAGGGCGTCGACCACGGCCAGCATGCTGCAGTAGACGCCCGTCAGCATATTGGCCCCGGCTATGGAGCCGATGACGAACTTGACTGGCGAGAGGTAGCTGGGCGAGGCGAAGACGGCCAGGCTGACCAGCCCGTTGCAGAGCACTGAGACCAGCGCGATGGCCCAGACCCCCAGGCGGATGATCCAGCTCTCAAACAACTGAGTGCAAGGCTTGAAGGGACCTGCAAGGAAACGAGGCCCAAAGTCATCGACCCTGCTGTAGCGTCGCTGATACGGCACCTCGGTCTGATCCTGGCCAGGGCTTGACCCAGCCAGTCCCACTCCCATTCAGCGCTACCAAGCAGAAGTGGGTCGGAACAAATGCCCAAGACCCGCTAAGGGCACCTCTTACCCAGGAGACTTTCCAAGAGCCCTGTGCTTCCAGTGTTACCCCTGAGCTCTTCCCCAATGTCCCCTCCCCCCCAGTTGCCTAAGGGGGTGCTGGTGCTGCCCAGTGGGTAAGAGCACAATGCATATAAGTAGGAGCGAACATTCCTGAGCAGGACAGAGAGTGTAGAAGCGAGGAGGGCTGTGCTGGCATCTGTGTGCATGGCCCCGGGCTGTGTGGTGTGAACGTCACCCCTTTACTCTGACTTGGTAAGTTTCTGGAGGAGATGGTACGATGAAACTGCCTACAATGGCATGGAGCTGATCTGCAACTGCTAGCAGCAAATATCTCCACCGGCCAGAGATGGGACACTAGATGGGACACTGAGTTACTACAGAGAATTCTTTCCCAGGTGTCTGCCTGGTGGGTCTTGCACACATGCTCAGGATTTAACTGATCACCATATTTGGGGCTGAGGAGGAATTTCCCCCTGGAAAGTCAAGACTAGCTTCTGCAAAGCAACCCACATGTGCGGGAGCCTTGGGTGAACATGTGAAGCACTGCTGCTCTGTTTGGTACCAGGGTAGGTGGTTTGGTCTGCAGCTTCCTATACTAGTGTGTGATGGGGCCAATCCAATCCCCTCTTCTGCTAGGACATACAGCCTTCCTAGGCATGGGACCTTGTACAGGAAAAGGCTGGAGGTGGGAAGAGCTCTGTAGAAGGATGGGGTTACCGTGAGTCCTCCCTCTCCACCTGAGAGGGCACTAGCTCCATGGCTTCAGCATGGGAAAGAGGAATCCCACCGCTGCCCCCAGGACCCAGCCCGGATTTTGGTCTATGTGTGTATGTAGCGAGTGGTGAGATGTAGGGGGAAAGACGTGGGAGTTGGCTGCATTAGAAGGGCCTCGAGTCTTATTTAGAGGCGGGGTCTCCTCTCAGCTCGCTGCTCACCGGGGCTGGGTGTGCACTGGATGGTGGGGTGCAGCTTTGACTCCTCAAACTCCAACTGGAAGTCATCCATGTCCAGGTCATCTAGGCAGGAAAAGGAAAAAGGGAAAATGAGCTCAGAACAGAACACTGCCGGGACACAAGGTCAGTGCCAGGCCGGTGCCGGGAGCTTTTCAAATTTTACAAGGCAAGAAGGGACCACTGTGATCATCCAGTCCAACCTCCTGCTTAGAACAGGCCAGAGACCTGCCCTGAGTTAATTCCTGTTGGAACTAAAGCAGATCTTCTAGAAAAACATCCAGTCTTGATTTAGCAGTTGCCCATGTTGGAGAACCACACCACAATCCTTGGTAAGTTATCATCACTCTTAAAAATTTACACCTTATTTCCAGTCTGAATTTGTCTAGCTTCAACTTCCAGCCATTGGACATTGTTAGACCTTTGTCTGTCAGACTGAAGAGCCTGTTATTAAATATTTGCTCGCCACATAGGTACTTACAGACTGTGATCAAATCACCCCTGACCTTCTCTTTGTTAAGCTAAATAGATTGAACTCCTTGAGTCTCTCATTATAAGGCAGGTCCTCCAACCCTTTAATCATTCTTGTGGCTCTTCGAACCCGCTCCCACTGCCTGTGTTTGTGAGACCAACCTGCAGGATTAAAGGGGATGTTGCGGTCTTGCTTGCCCTTTGTGTTTACTGCTGTGGAGAGGGCAGAGGGTGCATGTCCCTGGAGAAGGCTGTTAAGTTGGCAGGGAAGCCAGCCCCTCACCATTTTAAAAATGAGTCTCACAATATTTGATGTTTTAATTAAAGCCCCAGGTCCCAGAGTCATGTGATTACATGGGCATCTCAGCTTGCCTTAAAAAAAAAGTGGATGTTCCTAGCCCTCTTGGTAGCGGAGAAAAGCCTGAACACGTGACCCAAGAGTGTCAACTCGATGGGGCAGGGTCTGTCTGTTTGTTCTGCCTTTGTACAGCACCTAGCACAAGTGTTATAGTTGTATGCCTGGAGCACCGAGGTGCCCTAGTCCTGGAGCAGGAGGCCACAAAAGGTGGTCCCTGCCCAAAGAGCAGATAATCTAAGTATGGTGGGGTCTTGACCCATGCCTATGTGCTACAGTAATATGATAGTAACCTAAAGACTCAAACTGGAAGGCAAAGACAAAGATCCCAAAGTTTGTTTATTTATTTATTTAAAATCTCACAATGTTTTGGGGCCCGGCTCCCCATTTTTGACCATTTGGAGTTGGTCCTGCTGAATTTTGCCAACGGGAACCTTTGTGGGTTTTCAAGTGGCCCAGCTCCCTGAGCCAGTGGATTCTGATCTCAGCTGGGCCATTGTAAATATGAAGCTGGTTGGTTCGGTCTTGGTTGCACACAGGTGTAAATAAACTCAGAGTCTGGCCTGCTGTGTGCTCCCTTGCAACTGCACCCCGATCACAACTCGTGGGCTGTCCCGGAGGAGGCTCCTGTTCTGTCTGGAGCAGCAGCTGAGAAGGGCGGGGGGGGGGAGGCAGGGGAGAGGAGGGGTAGAATGCAGTTGTAGTCTTTACGCTTGCACCCTGAGGACCAGGCCTTTTCCTGGTGTAAGAATCAGGTGCTTGTGGGCTAATCCAAGACCTGCTTTTCTCCATTGCCACTCACATATCAATGGCATCTGGCCCCAAATAATCCAGTTGATTGCTGCGAATCCTTAGCTATGGAAACACCAAAACAAGGGTGAGTGCTTTCCCATTGCACCACCACAACGCACAGCACCAGCTGAGGAGCTGCTGTGGCTAGCACACCCTGGCTTGGAGCCCTTGTGGGTATTCTCGGCACCCTTGTTTGGGAGCATCTCACCACAGCCCATGTTTCCTGCCCTGTAGGACTCGGGGAGACTCTTCAGCCAAGCCCCGAGGGAGATGGGATTGTCCATGTGGGGGCAGTGGGGTGGGGGAGGTTGTTGATGGGGGTGGCTGCCCAATGCAAGAAGCAACTGTTGCTGTTTGCAGAGGCCATGGCCAAGGGAACATAGGGCCAGATTTACAAAGGTATATAATCGCCTAGAGATGCAGATACCCACCTAGTGGGATTTACTAAAGGGCCTAAGCAGCTTAGCAGCTCAACCCAATGGGCACCTAACCTGCTTAGGAACTTTTGACCATCCCACTAGGTACCTGTCTGCATCTTCCAGTCCCTAAATACTTTGTACATTTGGCCAAGAGTATTATTTCATAATAATAATAATGATAAATAATGTGCTGTCTTCAGCACCTCCGACAGATTCTGTGGCCTTCTTGGTTTCAGGAAGCCTTGGAAAAAACAGACTGCTTTTCATCTGTTTGCCCAAGCATTAAAATATTGCTGCTGTTCTGGAGTCTGGCAAGAAAACACCCAGAGTGGGGTGGAAAATATTTCCTCCTTGTACTTTACAGTCTTGTATACCCATCGAGTCTTCTTCTGCTCTCAGGCCCTGGCACACTGTGTCCTGATCCCCTGACAATGGAAGCCTTCAGTTTCTCTGGCCCAGCCCTTTCCTGTTTGGGAACGCTGCTGTACATAAGGCCTTGACTGCTTTGCATTTAACAGATGCTCCATACTGCAGGATGGTCCTGGGCCAAGGCCACTCCAACCAAGGCAGGAAATGTAAACTGGGAGTTCCTCTCCTCATTGGGAACGTGGGCACACGTCAGCCGGGAAAGCGCTGGAATAAATGAGCTATTCCTCGGTGAGTGGGAATAGTCTAACAGTGCCCAGTTCTGTTCTAGCAGGGCAGGTTGCCTTAGTTTTGTAACATCCCCTAATGTGTTTATTTGGACTCTGCTAAGAGGCCTACAAGCCTTTGGGCATGGGCGCTCAGCTAGTCATTCCATGGCTTGATGGGCTGATCCCAGGAGCCTGAAAGCAGAGCGTTGGGGTGCTACTCTGTAGAGCAGAGGTCAGAGCTAACGAAGAGTGACGCTCTGTATTAGCTATTTCTCACTCCATATAGATCTTGTTTTCTGCCATAACCAGGGCTCTCACACCTCATAATTTATGAATAATGTTATGAATGAAAGGCGGCCTGGCAATGAGCTGCATTGCTTTTCTACGGTAGCCACATTACAGCTCCGAGCATGTCAGCAACCGGGATAGAAGAGGCTGTGTTGCCCAACTGTCTAGACAGATGATCTTCTGCTGTTTGTTTAGCTTGAGGTGCTAAGAAGGCGAGCTAGGCAATATGTCTGGAAAAGGCGCATGTTCCCATAAACATCCTTTAGTCAAAACAACCCAAGTACACAAAGAAGCACCATTGTGTTCCCTTTGAAACTGGTGGCAAAACTCCTATTGACCTCCATGGGAGCACAGTTGGAGATAATGGAGGATGCGTGCAGAATCCATTACAAGTGGGAATAAAAAGCCAGTCTGTGTTTTACGTGTGACTGTCACAGATGCAAAGTGCCACCCAGACAGAAGTGAGCTACCCAGTCCAGTCATTCACTAGGAACAGGAATTTCTACAGCCAGGAGAAAGGGGCTCTGGGTTGGGTCCCTGAGACAGCAGCCAGTCTAATGAACTGACAAAATCAGCTTGGTCAACAGTTACCACACAATGGGATCTAAAGTCCCTCAGTTATTTCCTGCTCTTCGTATGGGGGAACAGCGGTATCCCACATCTTTATTATCATTTGTATTATGCTAGCATCTGGAAGCCTCAGCTGAGATCGGGAACCCACTGTGTTACATGTTTTACAGACATACAGGTGTGACTAGAATGGGCAATTATTTTTGGTCAAATAGTAAAGTCGCCCCAAAATGAAACTATTTGGGAATTCGAGTTGAATTTGACGAATAGTTTCGGCTGAATAAAAAAATAGAAAAAAAGAAATGGACAGAATTAAAATGGTTCATTTTGACATTTTGGAAACAACACGTTTTGACTTTTCATTTTGACATGGTGTTTCATTTCTAAATTTCATTCAATTTGTTTAATTTTTTTTAAAAAGGGTAAAAAGCACCCAAAAAGTAATGAAACAACAACAAAAAATTGTTTTAGGTCAAATGAAACATTTCATTCAACCTGAAAAGAATTTTTGTTCATTTTTTTTTATTTGTTTTGGTAAGAAAACCCAAGAAAGTTTCATTTTTGGTTAGAAATGAACTGATTTTTATTTTACGTTTTGGTTTGTCCATCAAACCGAAAAATCAATATTTGCTCAGCTCTATTCTTGATGGTCCATGCCCTGAAGAGCATATGTCTAAAGAGTTGACAATTTCAATGTCAAATACCATAGCATGGTGACTGCTGGCGAATGGTGACCTTTCATTGATGATAACTGTGCATCAGACAGAAAGACGGAATGTTTTCTCTCCCCCGAGTTCTGATAGTCTGTTGGTTTTAGGAAATGAGGCTTATATTTTATGGCCTTGCTAATTTTTGCTGCCATCTTCGTTGTCCTTTCTCCTGCCAAAGCTGTAAACTAAGAGAGACCAATCACAACTGGGCAAAACAACCCCACTGATTTCATCCTGCTCTCGAAGCTGATGGCTGCTAAATAAAACCTGGTCACTACATTTAGGAGGCTAAATGGAAGTAGTGCTCATTGGGAGGCAGTGTGGTTTAGTGGATAGTGTACCAGACTAGGAACTCAAGAGACCTGGTTTCTATTTCTGGCTCTGACCTGGTGGTTGACCTTGGACAAGTCACTTTGCCTTTCTGTGCCTCAGTTTCCCCATATTGACCTCCTTTGTCATGTGCTTTAAGATCTACTGATGGAAGGAGCTAGTTATCATTTGAAAACCTGCCCCATAGCCTTTCTTGCAGGCTGTCTTACAGCAATGAAGTGGCTGAATGCAAACTGTTATATGCTGCTGTTTCCTCGCCTTTGTCATGTCCCATCCATCAGGGTTGGTGGCTCTTGTTCTTGGTCTCCAAGCGTTCTTGTCCAGTGAGTGTTCTAAGCTGACACCAACCTTTTTCATGTCCTCCTTCAGCATCTCAAACCACCATTTTCTAAGTCTTCCTTGTGGTCTTTGTCCCACGATTATTAGCTCTGGTACTCTCTGTGCATCCTATCCCATATCTTGTCGTCTCACATGACCAACCATATCAGGTGATACT